CTTCGCAAATAAAATAGTTTTCCTGGCTGCAGTACTTGGTTTTCATGCAATGACATCCTCGCTGCAGTTTTACGCATTCATATTCATCCTCCATATTTGGCTGTTCTGGGGCCCACTTTAGATAAGGAGCATCATTTCCGGTAGTGACTGATATGAAGTCTCCGTATTTATATTTAATGTCTACCCAATAGGATTTACAGCGGGTCAAGTGATCATTGATGGCGTCCCATTCCTTATAGTTTTTGATGCTAACCAAGTGGGCATCCATGCTTAAACAATAATCACGAGCATCGTACCAGTCAAGTTTCTTATTATCCGAAATATAGTAATACTTTGATCCAATCCTTGTAAAGTCCCTGGAAAAGCTCTGTGGATAAACGGTGCGAGATATAGATAAATTGTTACAATGGCTACACAACTGAAACACCCTTCTTAACAGTGAAGGAAACAGCACTTTATTATTATTTTTTTATTTGTTCACTATTAAGAATTTCATTTAAAATATACTATATTTTTGATTAAACTCACCACTTCTCTACCGTGACTGTAATGGAAAACTATTCCAAAAACTAACAGCATTAAAAGATAAGGCATTTTGTAAGAAAACATTTAAAAATTCCACACGAAAGACAATGAAGACTGCGCTTCATTTTTAACTCATCAGGGCTTATATAGGCATCTTAATCAATAAGATTTTACAATATATTACTTGTTCCATGTAATTCTTGACTCTTATCACTTGAAAATAAGAACGGAATTTAGAGCAGTTCTTCGTAATACGACGAAGCCTTTGCTATCAGTTGTTGATGGCTATTCACTATGCGCAATAAATTCAATAATTTTGTATATTTATATTTAATCTTTGTATATTAAATGTAAATAAATAGAAAGAGATGAAACATTTATTATCAAGCCCTGTTTCTGCGAAACTCTCTAGTTACTATACATATTTTGCACACTTTTGTATATTGAAAGTCAACTTGTTCCCCCCTGAAGTAGGCGCAAAAAGGTTTAGATTATAGAACTTTTACATGGAAGATCCCATATCAAAGTCGTCTGCAGCTATATACTCACTATACGGACATGAACATGGACACAAATGACCATGGAAACTCACTGCCGGCAGTTTGCGACTGGAAATGATGTGGTTGGTTAGTTGCGGTCCATGCGGTGTGGCCATTTGAATGACGATGGGAGTGGAAATGGACATGACGACGGCTGGGGAAAAACTTTTACCGGCAACTGTAACTACCATAGCCAGAGTTAGGCCCTCCGGCAGTAGGTCAGGCACTCAGACATCCGGCCATCAGCCGGACATTCGACATCCAGACATCAGACGCCGGACTAGTGCGGTTTTTAAATGAAAATGCAACCAAGTCAGCCAATGTTGGGTACTTCTTTTTTTGGGTAGCAAAAGAGCAAAGCCTCTGGCGGTCTCATCAGAATTTAAATATGTGTGAGAGTCTAATGCAATTAGTATTTAAATATTTATATATCTCTTAAAGAGAATACAACGAAGTATTATAGGATTGCACTCAAAATAATCGATAGAAGCAGCCAGTCGAGATGCAATCAAAGCAATCAGCTTCAAATGGACCGCTCAGCTTCCGCGTCCCTTTTCAATATTTTCCATTCCTTTCTCACCAAAAAAAAACCGGAGGCCATCAACATCATCATTATCATTAACGTTATCATCATCGGTCGACTGGCATTTCCGCCGGCGGAGGAGTTGGCCATGGGCCATTACAGAAGTTGACCAACTTTTAATACCCACAGTGGCCATGTTGCGCATGTGTAATCCCATTAAAATCCAATAAGTTAAATTATTTCCATTATTATTATGTGAACGCACTTTGTCGCCGTCCGTTCGTCCGTCCTTCCATCAGTTCATCCGCCCACAGCTCCGACTCCCTCTGGTGTCCACCGATAACTGACCATGTGGGCGTTTATCTCTCGGTGCGGCTTTTGTTGTCCAATCCAGTTTCCTCACCTCTGCACTCAAAATATATATTATTATTATCACTCTATCGAAAAGAGTGATTTTCAAAATGCATACTATATGTTTGCCCTGAGAAATGACACACTTGTATGAGTAATCTTCTAGATTCTATTTCTAACCCTAATTATAAATATACATGTTTCTAAGACCATTTTTATAAATGAAGAATAAATTTCTAATATGAGCTTTGTTAAATAATTAAATAGAATAGATATTTATGTTCTCCAAGTGTAACATACAAATCCGGTGGCAGCACTTTTGACCAATATCTGCAACACTTCAAACTCTGCTGGCTGTTTCTGTTTTATCTCTGGGCCGTTGTCCAAGTGTGGTCATGATGCCCGCGTGATCCCCACTTCCCCCCTTTCCCCTGACTGTTGTTGACCATTAAATTGCATTACGTTTCGTGCAATCATTATGATTGCCATTGCCATCGTTGCTATTGTTGTTTCCATTGTGTGTATATGTGTCCTGTAATTTGGGTATATTTTTTAATTACTTGGAGGCTGGCCATTGAGCTTAAGAGAAGCTGAAATGCCTATGGGCCTTGGCTTTAATAATACATTTTACCAATAACAAAACCTCCCTTAAGAGAATAATGTCATTAAAATTATAAAAGTATATTAAGTACCTTAAAGTGGCACGACAATATTACCACTAAACAAATTATTATTTAACCATTAAACTCCCAACTTCCTAAAGTACATTTCTCTTGTGAATTTAGCATAAAAATATATAAATAAATAAAATTTCTTAAAATTGAATTGAAGTTTGAAGAATTCAAATTTAAAACGATTTTCGCATTAAATATATACATACATATATATAAATATTCTTAAAATGGGAATTCTTAGAATTAAAATAAATCACATACCTAATTAATATAATGCTATTTTTTGGCTGCTAAAGACTACAAAACGCTGATTAGATGGCAAGAATCTTCAGTCTGCATTAATTATTCGATTGCTAACTGTCACAAGATGCGTTATCTCGCAGTGCTCTTACTTGTGGGAATTGTTTGCCGAGTGGTGAGTATAATTGTGACGTCGAAACTAAAGAATTCTAACAAAGAATTGTTTAAAAACATATTTACATACCAGATAGCTCACAAAATCATCATATAATTTCTAGTGAACCAATTTCATAACATACTTAATCCCCATTTATTATTTATTTTATTTATTTATCAAACAGAGCTGTTCCAAAACTTCCAGCAGATTCGAAGAAAATATTATTATATTGAGACGATGAAAAACTTGACTGGTTCGATGCTCGCGATAAATGTAGAAGCATGGGTGCCCACTTGGTTAGCATCCAAAATTATAAAGAGTGGGACTCTATTACTGATGAATTGGATAGTTGCAAATCCTATTGGACAGACATCAGAGATGTTGACTCGACCTATGACTTCATGTCAGACACTTCCGGAGACGAGGCTCCTTATATTGATTGGGCCTACGGGCAGCCAAGTGATCGAGAAGGCTATGATTGTGTAAAGCTAAGGGCTTATAGCCATGAAATGAAAGCCAAGCGTTGCACACAGGAAAACCATTATATTTGTGAAGCCAACAGGCGTAGTAGTCCTGTATGCCCCCAGTAACATCCGTTCCAATCGTACACTTCCCATCGACAAAATACCCAATTATAGATTTGAGGAATAGATATTAATTTAACTGGGTTCATTTAATTATGAAAAGTAACATTTTATAATTATTATTGAAAGAACACTACTCTTTAAGTTTTTCATAATAATTAAAATAAAATTGAAAAAAAAATTAATAAATTGTAAACATGTTTAATCAAAATTAAAAAAAATCTTGTGAAGTGTCCAATAAAATGACTTATTTGTTAAATGGCTGAATGTTTGTACTTAGTTTTATTTTTACAGTAAGCGAAATTAACAAGAACTGTTTATATATATTCTATTCATAGAATTAATAAATATACAAGTAGAAATTGATAACGCTACTTAAATCTGGTGGTTTCAAGAATTGGAAATATAAATACGTACATCTGAACAGGTTGTGGTTGCTGCTTGAACTCTCTTGAACTGGATTAAAATATGTATGTATACATTTTAAATAACTAATTAGCTATATTTATGTTATATACAAATAACTATATGTTCATAAGAGTACTGATAAAAAATGAATTACCTCAGAAATAGTAGTCAAGTAATCATCTTAAGTGAGTGCAATCACACCAGGTTTCCATGTTAATCCGAACGCATGTACTTTCACTTAAATATATATGTAATTATTTAAATACCCCTATTCTCTAGTTATACATCGTATTTTATAGAGGAAAAAGTTCGATTCGATTGGAAATCTACATATCAATCGTGAAGACCCCAAGTCTCGCGTAACGTTGCGTTTGCTCTTGGCCATTTTTATTGCAATCCCCCATTCTGGCTGACCGCATTTTAGCTTCATTTACAGTTATTTGCAATGCCCCAACAGTGCACCACGAACCACGCCCCCCATCCCATCCCATTCCCGCAGGCAAAACCGCAAATTCAATTTTGGTTTAGAGCCTACAAACATTTTGCAGCATGTTTATGTCCGCTGCATTGTTACGAGTAGTTTTCGCTCCTGGCCCGCTTTTAATGCAATTTATGGCAAGTGTTTGCCCCGGTTTCGGTTGCCATTGACCACAAAACGATCTTTTGTGATATGGCCAGTGGATGTGGGTGGCCAGTGGAATTGAATTTTCATTTAAGCATGACCGGGGAGACGGGAGACGGTCGCCAACTGGCAGTTCTTAGTGGCCATGTCCGCGTCAATGTCGGCCAGATGATAATCATCAAACGAACGCCAAACAATTTTGCAATTTTGCATATTGCCATTGGTTGTCCGTCCAGCTGTCCATACGCTTGGATTAGCATCTGGACTCGACAAATGCTGCCAATGGGAAAACTGCAACTGTGAGAGAATTTTAATTTTAATTCCATTAAAAATGTATATATATACAAGTAAAGGCGTTGCTTGGAAAAATCTGGTTCTTAAGATCTGACACAAATTAAAACTTTATTTAAAAGATTTCTAAAGTGGTTCCCTTAACATGTCGATCTAAAGATCAGAACAATTTTTATAACAAAACTGTATTAAGTCATCGACTTATGGGGATTTAAACAAAAATTATGCTTCGCTTCTTTTGGAGTTTCGGTTACTTTTGACACTTTCATTGGTTTTGTTGCTAGATCCTGGTTGTTGTTCTTTTGCTCTGCAGCTGGCTCCTCATCCTCAATATCCTGATTCCAGCCGTCAATCTCAATATGGACAATGGTTTGCCGTCTTTGTCCATCACGGTACCGGGTGAACCAGCCGGCAGCGGTGCATCAGCGGGAACAGCGGGAACAGCGTCCTCCAACGAAGGCAACTGATTCTCGGACTGGCCCACCGGTCCCACCGCTGGCTGGAAGAGAGAGCTATCCAAAGACGAAATGGATTTGGTGAAACTGCGAGCAAACTCTAAGTCGCCCTTGGCCATATCGTCCAGATTAATGTCCACAACCACGACGCCGTCGATAAGACGGGAACGATGCGCATAGCGGTAGACCGCACCGGAGGCTATGTTAGATCGAGCACTCATCCGGGTGACCAGATTCCGTTGAAGCGTCAAATTGTTCTTTAGCGTCAATAAGCGAAACATGGTTTTTGTCGTTTTATATTTTTAAAGGGGCTCGAGAGATTAACTGAATGAACAAAATGCTGCTGCGTCAAACAACTTGGAATGTTAAAATAAATTTTGTAAATATTATTACCTCAGTTTTAAATTCTAAAATTAGGTCCTATCTTGCCGAAATATTTAATACGACTAAAGTTCTCGAACAACTAAACAACTGACACAACTCGATTGGTACGAAATTACTTCCAAGGCAAACCATGCTAACAAAAATCCAACAAAATAATTGTTGAAAAAATATTATTTCCAAATATTACCCATATGAAACAGATAAATAATATGTAGACCCCTTAGATAAATCAGACCATGATTATTGTATTAAAAATCACCAACAAATCACGATCAAATCTCGATCAAATGCCACCCTAACTACTCACAAACCTCACTCATCCTGCTTCATATAATTCAAGATTATATGTATAGTATTTATACCAGAAACACTTCATTAATAAATTGCCCTCTTATATTTTTTATTTGATTATAACAGAATATTGACAACAATTCAGATTTAAGTAAATGAAAAGTGCTGGTGATCAACACAATAGGTCCGGATCAAATTTGGTTTAAACTAGAATGAGGGAAACTAAAGTTGCTAATCAGCTTGGAAACGCCTACTCTTTGTCGAACTTGACAAGACGAGTGTCGTCGCCGAGCTCCTTGAGGTCGGTGGGATCACGACGGAAGCGATAGGTGCCCACATCTTCGTTTGCCTTACAGGCAACTTCACCTTGATCCCCTTGTACTCCGTTTGACCCTCTCGTACCTCCGGCACACGGAGGGCCAACTCGGCCTTGTACTCATCATCGTTGCCGATGTCGATACTCTTGCTGTTCTCCTGCACGGTGGAATCATCCCCCTCCCAACTCCAGCCATCGATCTCGATGGAATCGATTGGAGAGCCATCAACGCCCGTTATAGAACTAGGAACGCCAATTGGCATTCCATCGGAATCAGGGGCTGATGATTCACCCATCTCCGGGTCTATTTGCTCACCGTATCTGAAGAATTGTCCAGCGCCGATAAGGTGCTAAGGAAATTCTGACTGAACTCAAGATCATTCTTGGCCAGTTCGAAGATATTAATGTCGGTGACGGTGACTCCATCAATGGTCGTCGGTTGACCTGTTGAGCGGGAAAGGCACCTAGACGACATGAGCGTGCGAGAAGTCAACCGGGACATCAGACTCCGCTGAAGGGCCAGTTTGCTACTCAACATCATCAAGCGGAACATGGTCTTCAAAGCAGTCAGTGAAAATATAATTATTTTGTATTTAAGCAAAAAAAGATAAACTTACGTTTTTGGAATATTTGGTGTTACTGGAGTTTCCAAAGCAGATCGACAACTGAGCCAAATCGGTTGGAAGGACGTTTACTTCAAAGCTAATTCGTTTCCATAAAAATATAGGAGTACAAATAATTTACAGGTCATATACAAGATAGGTTTATTAAAGAAGAGATTCATGTGTCGTCTGAACCTATCAAAGGTACTATTAATAATTAACAGAATTGAATTGCTACCTTAAAGAAGGTAGCCTAAATATTTAGATTTTAACGCTTTCGCTTAGCGGCACTTCCGGCTGCTTTTCGCACTTTCCGCTTGCCTGATGTTGACGCCTCTGGCTTCTCCTCAAATGAGTCCTCCTCCTCCTTGCCGGTGCGTACTTCCCGATTTACCTTGTAGGCGGCACTCATCCGCTTAATGTTCTCCTTGTGCACTACTTCGTGTTTAACTATTCGATGTGGATAATCGATGCCAAGAACACAGCCATAGGCACGCTGATCCGCCAGCGTGGCCTTCCAGGGTTCATAGATACTGCTTTTGGATATTTGGCTAATTCCGGTACATACTTCCTTATGTAGTCACCCTGCGGATCCGTTTTCTTGCCAAATGCCACCGGACTGTAGACCCGAAAATACTGATGAAAGAAGGCCGAGGCCGAGAGCCACATCCAGTTGCCAGCGTTGAGCGCCCAGTCCTGATCGAGCAACAGCTGCTCAAAGACCCGCTGTCCCTCTTCCCAACTGATCCAGAGATCACCTCGTGTGAGAAAGCAAGCCACTGCATGCCTGGCCAAATGGTGGATCCAACCCTCTTGACGCAACTGTCGCATTATAGCGTCTATAAACGGATAACCAGTGCGACCATGGGTCCAAGCCTCCAGGTGATCGGGATGTCCTGCCAGGGAATCTGCAGGCAGTAGACGTTGCCTAGCATGCGATCAAAGTTGGGTTCGGCAGCGGCCACTGTGTAATAGAATTCCCGCCACATAAGTTGTCCAATCAGGGAAACGGGAGGCTGGGAGTGCTTCGTCTGTCGCTTAAGTATTTCCTTAAGTCTCTGATAAAACAGACGAGCACTGAGGCATCCAAACTTAAGGTAAGGACTCAGGACTGTCGTACTCGGCTCCAGAGAATTGGGAGCCGTGTTGGGCTTCTCGAAGCGGGCCACCCAGAGTTCATCCTTCAAGGATTCGTCCATGCGACGCAGAGCCTCCGTTTCGCCTCCGGGGAACTTATTGGGTCCCAGTTCCTCTGGCCGCTTTACCAACTGCCCATGGTGGGATAATCGTAGGCCGCTGAATCCTGCAGCTCCACATCATCTTTGGGGGGCTTAGCCACCCCCTTTAACTTTTCAGGAGCTTCTAGAACCTTGGGTATCTTCAATAGATCCACGATGGCTAAGAACTTTTGGTACGTAATCGGAGCCTTACCCAAATTCTTGGCTATAACCAACTCTGGGTTGTAAATCGTGTGGGAGCAGTGTGTTACCACCTTGACACCCTCGGTTTTGGCCAATTTCTGGATCAAAGCGTCTCTAGCCAGGGAATAGGGCTCGATATCCGACTCGAATGTCAAGAGTTCCACGCGCCAGCTTTTGAAGATACGAGGGAAAACTTCCGCAGGCTTTCCACGCACCACAACAAACGCGAATCGAGTTTCCGCAGCTGGTCGTCCAAGTCCTGAAGGGTCTGCTGGAGGAATCGCCAGCGATTGGCCCCCACCTGCATCCAGTCAAGGATCCCGGGATCCAGAATGAAAATTGGCCGGACGCAGAACTTCTCGGGCGAGGCATTGGCGGCAGTGAAAATCTGTGATAAAGCCGGATTATCGTGGACCCGGAGACCTTTTCGAAACCAGTGGACCAGCGTGGACTTTTTAACATCCATTGGAGCACGTTTCCACTGTTTATAACGGGGTTTTACAAGCTTAATTGCGAAAATGTTTTTGAAACGCACAACAGGCGCCTGATGTTTAAAAAGACCTGCCAACTTATTTGCGAAAGCTTGTAGTACACTTAAGTAAAAAGTTTGGTAATTGCCGTTTTTTAAATATTTATTTAATTAATTCTGAGGTTTCTGTAAATTAATTTAATTAATTTAGAAAACGGATTGGGTATTTTCATTTTATAATCCGTTGATCCTTTTAATTCTTCTAAGCATACACAATTTTTCGTGGTCGCTTAAATCCGAAACTCCCTCCGCTCAGTGTAATCAGCTGTTGTGTAATGAAAATATACCAAAATACCGCAATTCAGCACGAGTTGTCATCCCCGTTTTGCTATTTGGTGCACAAGCACCGGTTTATAATTATAATTATTTTTAACCAAATAAAACAACTAAATCACGGCATTTGAACACCGCGAGAGGCTAATAATAACCGCCAGAGAGTGGTAAGTCACCGAGAATCCCGCCCGCCAGAGCGAACGGCCGATTAACTGAGATTCCCTCGCATTTTCATGGTGGCGTCAGAGGCGCAGCGTGAATTGATCAACAACGGGCGAGGAAAACACTGTCCCCAGGGACAAAATGGACCTCCTCGATTCTATACTGAACGCCATGGACGCGCCGCCAGCGAACAATGAGCAGCAAAAGACGCTAATCAAGAAGCAGCGGGAAATGATGGAGCGAATGCAGAACAAACAGAAGGAGGAGCTGCTCCGCTTCCGGAAGTATGTAGACGAACGGATGGGCCGATTTGCCAAGGACGACAGAAAGTGTATTGAGTTCCAGCCGCTGGACAAGGTCCATCGCTCTGTAATACACGAAATAGCCGAAAACGGCGGCTTCATAGCCATGAGCTTCGGTCGAGAGGATGTGGACAGACATTCGGTGGTATACAAAAAGGAACATGCTCCCGGGGAGGACGAAGTCACGGCCCGGCGAAACGGTGACGGCTGGAACGCAGAGATAGCCAAAGAATACGCTGAGAGGCGGAGAGAGCGGCTGGCCCAGGAGCAAAGCGATAAGCAGGCCTCCACATCCGAAGCGTGCTCCTCTTCCGCGACCGGAGATCAAGACAGTGGGGAAGTAAAGCCCACTACCAACTACAAGGCCAAGTATGCCCACCTTATCGGAGAGTCGGCCGCTCTGCAGGCGGCACGGAAGACGGAGACCAACCAAAGCTATGGGTTCGTGCCCAGCAAGAACAAGAAGGACATGCGTTCCATCGAACAAACGCTGGCCGATATTCAGGCCAAGAAGCGCCTGCGGCTGCAGCAGAAACAGGACTTGGAGCAGGAACAGGTGCAGGAGGAGGCATCCACATCCACAGAGGACCCATGAACACGCTGGGGTTTCGTTAGTTTAAAGAAAGCTCACCTAACACAAGGCTGTCATAACTCCAAGCAAGCAATTTTTGACTTAATGTTATTCTATCCCCTATTTCATATTGTATACTCCGTAAAAGGATTATAAGTTTCTTTTCATGCGAAGAGAACATGCCTTTCGGCCCGGTTCTTAGTTCTAGTCCAATCAAAATCTGAGGAATAGGAATTGATAAATCTTCTTTACCAAAACATAATTATTTAATTTAAATTGTAAATTTCCCTCAAGACTTTGTCCGAAGTCTTAAACACCAAGCTTTTACAAAATTCCAGTCCACACCTTTTAATTGCCTCTAGAAAGAGAGCTGGCCGATTATCATCTTTATATAGGATATGTAAATCGAATGCCTTAATAACGTTTTTCCTACAAATGCCTTTGTTTTGGAATTATGACAATCTTATGCTAGTAGTGAGTCTAATGATTAGTTTTGTTGATTCAGAGATTAGTCACATGCAAGGTCCCACGACTGCCATGTAAATCATAAGAAATAAGCAATATAATTTGTTGGCCAATTAGGATGCGATAGTTGAAAGTGTTTAGGACAAGTCATGTATCCACGGCAACGTCCAATTCGCAATATCTATTTATATAATAAAACAAAATATAGAAAAACAGAATGGTGGGATTGGAAGATTTAAATTTATGTTTTCACCACCCCGAAACTCGAAGACATCGATAATCGAAATAAAACATTGGTGTTACCAAAAATTTTAAAAACATCGATGCATCGATATTTCCATCGACGTTTTCCAGCTCTATCATTTAACCACGTGTTGCAAATGAGTAAAGAAATGGAAAGAAATATGATTTGCACAAGAAAACAGACGGAACATAAAAGATTCAGTGCAACCCAGTCACTATTGTTCAAAGGCCACATATTTGACAAAGTGAGCGATTCGCAGCGTGGAAACCTAACCCGGAATAACATGGCAATTCTGAGACTTCTAGGCCTTCATATCTAAAAGGTATGTATGTACATACATACATACATATGTATGTATGTAGACTTATACTATACATGTTAATTCATTTTATGATGAAAACTTAGATAGGGACATCTGATGTCTATGACTGATTTATCTTGATAGTAGAACTGATTATACATAGTAATTATATAAATACTTATTAAGATTCATTTAATAATTACATTTCTTTTATTTTCAGCCAAATTGGTGTCTCAACTGAAAGCCACAGGCCATGTGACTGAAAAATGGTAAGCATACTTAAGAATAAAAAATTAAAACGTTTTAATGATGAAAATCCATGATAGGGACATCTGATGTCTATGATGATTTATCTTGATAGTAGAACTGATTGCAAAAACAAATTTAAAATATAATTTCAAATGTAATATATGTATAAACTAAAACGTATTACTTTATATTTTCAGAACAGCTGAAATTTCTTAATGAAAGCATTCAGGAAAGAGCTACCTGATTTAAAGGTAATTATTTAAAATTGTCGACAGGTTTTAGTTTTTATGATGAAAACATAAGATAGGGACATCTGATGTCTATGACTGATTTATCTTGATAGTAGAACTGATTCGAATGAATTTATATTTAAAAAATTTTAATATTCGTATAATAATTAATTACTTGTACTTTATTTATAGCCGAAATTTGGATCTTAACTGAAAGGCGTATGCAATACGAGCAAAAGATGGTAAGCATTCCTTAAAAAATAAAAAATAATTAAAGTATTAATGATGAGAATCTATGATAGGGACATCTGATGTCTATGACTGATTTATCTTGATAGTAGAACTGAGTGCAACAAAAATGTTCTTATATATTTTGCACATTTTAATATATATACACTAATACAAACGTATTTCTTTATCACTTTCAGGAAAACTGAATTGTTTGAATTAAAGCATTAAAAGAAGGCTGCCAAGAATTCAAAGGTAATTACCTATTGTCAGGTCAAAGGGTTTTGGTTTTTATGATGAAAACTTAAGATAGGGACATCTGATGTCTATGACTGATTTATCTTGATAGTAGAACTGATTATAAATGTAATATTTTAATATTTTGTAAGCAGAATGTTTATTCTAATTAAGAATTTTTTTTTATTACAGAGTCTTTTGTGACAGCCAAACGAGGAGGCGCATCGGTATGTCCCGAATTTAAATTCGAAATAATGTTTTGTTATCCTAAATAAATATAAATATAAAACCAATACAAAAATGTTTTCAAAAAGTTGTATTTTTATTTAAACAAGAAAAGAAGGCTAACTTCGGGAAGCAGAAGTTTGTATATCCATGTGATTATATAGTTGGTTTAAAAATGCAATCCACCATAGCTAATGGTGACTCCTTCATTGCATTGCAAGCTGCCAACTTGCTTAAACTGCTTCTGTTCCGTCTACTATAGTAGTCCACCACATCGTGTACAGAAACATGTAATAAAATTGTAGCTGGAATCAGATATAAAGATATAATTTCACAGATCATTATATTATATTTAAAATATTTATTTTATATTACCAAAATGATCTATTTATATGTTAAATGTATTTTTTGGCAGTGTCCACTCTACAAATATAATTCTCCAGGTTGGCAGCTCTATACCAGCAGCTGTTTGGCACTGATAACATTAAAAACCAAAACAAGCTAGTAACAAACTTGCTACCCGGCCAAGAGGCCAGTTGACCAAATATGCTGCCCACCAAAACGGATTCCCGTCGCCGTCTCAACATAGCGAACTCGTCGCCAGCAGTTGGGGAATATGTCAAGGTGGTGGAGACCCAGTGCGAGACCGATGGTTTCGTTAACGAACAGTGGGTAGAGCCGGCGCTCCAGAGGCCAATACCCTGGAAGACCATCATCATTATCCTGACGCTGTTTATTGGTGGCGTAGTGAGTATACTGTTTTAATTAGTATCGTCCAAGTGATGACTCATTCTTGCATTTCTTTGTGTCCAGATCTGTCTCGCCTTCGCCACTCTCTATTGGGTGACAGATACGGGCGATGAGCGTTCGGATCGAGTCTGGGCGCTGAGCATTATAGGAGCATTGACCTTTATCCCCGGAGGCTACTACGTGTACGTGCTGTCTTGCATTATGCTCAACCGAAACGGATTCACCATGGACGAGATAAGAAGGCTCGGCTGAGCGATCAAAGGGGATCCGAACACATCCAAAAATCGTCAAATAGAGTTTATTATTGCATTTAGACTACAAGTTATTCACACATTTCATTGGCATATAATTTCATTAGCAACAATCTTAATGTTTGATACATGTTTGTGTGTATTGCCCCGGTAATTGTTGTATAAAAATATGTTTAAATACGAGCTTGTTATCAAAATGTATAATGCTTGGCGTGGCTAGTTTAGTGCGCGGAACATTTGCTATCTATATAAATACACCACGGCGTAACGCTTGTTTAAATATACATATGTATGTTTTACAGGCATCAACTATAGTTCTACAAGATATATTTTACGTTTATGGCCATTTTCTCTATCAAGCATAAAGTACATACATTATATGTTTGAGCTTAACTATATACATGGTTTTTATTTTGTAACTAGTTTTAGAGTTGGTTTCTTTACAAACAATTGCTTTTCTGTGTGCTTTCTTATGGGGAAATACATAATTATCGAGGAATGGGTACATGTACACAAACACAATAACGAAATTAAACTAGCGACAGTTAACAACAATTCACTGCTCCACAACGGTACCTCAATGGGAGGAATGAACTTCCACACATGCGCCTGCTGCTCGTCGTAGCTGGAGGTGAACATGTCCGATTGGCTGGAAGTTCTGTTGGACAGGAACGGTGTTCCGACTGCTTTTGCTGCGGATTGCTGGAGCACTCTATGCTGGCCTTAAAGCGCCCGGGCGTAAAGAATATCACAGAGCATGTGTGCTGCCGCTGCTCCTGCTTATCCAGCAGGGGAATTGCAATTCTGGAAAAGAGAGAGAAGCTTAACCCCATATCCTACTGAACTGCAGAGTTATTTTTAAGCTTACTTATTTGGTCCTGAAATGGCCACGCGTGTCTCTAGATTGTAATTCTCCATGCCGTTCAGGTAGTCCTGGTAAAACTTGATGCTCAACACCAAGTTCTGAGCGGCTGCAGGGATTGATTGGCCAGCTGGATGCTTAGAAGCGAACGCTGGCCCACCGTGCACACGATCTCGCTATGCGGCTGCACGGGCGTCTCCTGAAAGCTGATGGCTAAAGAAAACAATGCTATTAGTCTTAAACACATCAAGGAAAGCCTTTAAACTTACCCCACTGCAAGGCGAAACAGCTGTCAAGTCCACCATGGATTGAGAGAGAACTATTCCTCGAAGCGAGGCTATTCCCTTAATATCCGTTCCAGTTAGCAGCCAGTTTATTTTCACCCGTTCAGCTATGTGAATTGAGCAGAGTTTGCTCAAAGCATCGTTAAACGACAGAAGCTGCGTCCGAAAGCATAGTTCTAATGGAAAAATTAATCATAAATTCAAATTATAATTACTAAAACCTCAGGCCATACCCCTTTCCAGGTTTTCCGCCACCTCTGCTGCCCGAGCGGCAACCACTTGCTCTAGCGAGCACCGATCGACGGGTATGGGCACTCGGCAGCTCTCTTTGGCCTCGATGAGTATGTTCTTGGTGTCCGTGTAATTGAGCGACATCTCTTGAGCGGTCAGGTTGGAAATGTCCAAAACCAGGTAAAATTGTGAAGCTCTATGTTATATAAATCCAATTAATTAAACTTCTTCTAAAAGCAGCGATAGTATTCTTACACTTCGGCGGGCAGAACATCCCAGCTGGTGATCTGTGCGCTGGGCAAGAGTTCCAGGTTAAAGGACACTGCACACTGGCGGCAATAGCCTGCCGTTAGGGCTTCCCCACCCGAGTACTTTAACCGCACTTGCGCCTCTATGTGCTGGGAATATTGAGAGCCCAGGCTGGACGGTCCAGCGCCTCCTCCTCCTGGTTGCAAACTCAAAGCAGCCAGAGAATGCTGACCACCCGAGATAGTGGAACGAAAACTAGAGTTCTGCGGCTCGTGACGACGATGTTGCGGCGAGCTGACTCTTGAGGGCAAGCTGGCATGCCCCGATTTGACATATTGCAGTAAGGCGTAAGGGAAGAAGATCCATAATCCCCACCAGCAGCACCGGAATGAAGGGAAGCCGGTGGCTGGGGACAAACGAAGTCCGCTTCGGCATAAATGTGAAGATCAAAGTCAATCGAACCCAGCGGAGGCACTGGCAGCTTGGCCTGCAATGGAACAGCGATTAATTATGTTTAGCTTTTGTTAGGAAAAGATTACCTTTATTGCCTCTTCGTCGATCCGAAAGATCTTCTTCTGCAGCTCCTGCTCCACATTCGAGTTGATGCTCACTTCCAGGTACTCCAGAGGCAGTGTGGTGCTTTCGTTTGTTATGGTTATCGTGCAGCTGGAGGATTCCCCATTGTACAGCGTTAAGCTGGCCGAGGTAACCACAATATCGGCACTGTTCATGTTGCTAAACGTTGCCGTCTGAGGCAGGGATGTTTTCACCTCAATGCGGGGCAGGGCGGGTATCACATCAACCAGATAGTTTGGCGGAAAACTGCGCCCGCGCATATGCTTCAGCCGGCAGTTGGACTTCACTCCGAGCGTGTGAGTGCTGTAGCCTTGAAGGTCCAATTGACCCGTCTCAATGGGCGTACCATGGAGCGACACATAGGTGGGCACGTGTGGCTGCAGGACAATCGTCTGGGGCAGGGACTCGAATACCACGCCGTTAGTCAATAATCTCATGTCCGTGACGGCCAACTCAAAGGGCAGAGGATTACGCAGCCGCACCGTGACCTCGCTAAGATCGTTTTGAACCCACAGAAAAGCTAAGAAAATTAATATATTAATTATTAAGTTATTAATTTTCAATATTATCCCCTATTACCTATTTTATTTTTGTCCTTCTTGTCCCTGCGGTCCACCGAGTTGAAGTGTATGGGCGTAAAGAGAAACGGCCCACTGTCCGCTTTTGCTACCTTTATGCGCTGTGGTCGCAGATGGGCCGGCAAGTCCTTGACCTGACAGTCCAGGCAGTAGGGCAGATCGGTGAGATTGGCGGGCGGTATCACAGTGCCATTCTCCAGCACCAAAGGAACGGGTGAGCCCTCGCATTGGGCGCTTAAATTCTGCAAGAATTCAAGTTAATTAAAGATTTCTTGTTTGAGGAGCTCTCGTACACGCACCTGTAGTTGCACAGCCATCTCGCTCTGCTCCGTTGGTGACATATTATCCCATTGGGTCTGCAGCAGGAAGGTCATGTGCCGCGTGGCCAGGGCAGAGTGCCCCAGTCGCCTGGCGGCCGTTATGAGGGTCTGCACTAAATCAATCTGTAGAGCCGGCCAGCCGGCAGCATTCTCCAGCACCTCAAGCGGATCCAAACACAGTAGGTACCCGGTAAAGCTGCCCAGCATCAAGCGATAGCTCTGATTCCAGTCCGGCGCCTGACTGCCTGTTTCACGTGTTGGAGTGCCGCCAAGCGCTGGAAGTAGGCGGCCTTTCTTTGGTACCCGATTTGCTGGTACAGCTCCGTGATGATCTCAAATCTCTTCACCTTCTCCGCCTCACTCATACTCAGATTAATGTAGAGGATATTCTGCAGGAACATGGCCACATCCAGGGGGCGATTCTGCTCTATACAAATCCTCGAGGCTTTCAAGGCCGCCTCAGTTTCGATGGTGGCTGCATGCCTATATTTACTGTAGTTTATGATGGCCTTGCGGTAATAATTGGTATCTCCTCGGCTTTTAGTATATTCCCCGGCAAATCGCCGTTCCGCTGGTGTCCAGGAATGGGAGCCGCCGATATTGTCGACGTGGAAGAGGACGACGATGTGGAGGGCGTGTCCGAGGCGGAGGAATTAGTTGCCGTCGTTACAAGGGAAGATACCGAGGAGCAGGAAGATGAATTTGATGTCACGCGCTGCGTCGGCGGCTGTGCAGAGTCCACATTGTTGGCGGTGGCTTCGCCAGCACTGACTTTCTTGGTGGCATCGCTGGCCCGCCACTTTTCCGGGGTGTTCTTTAGGGGCGATGTGCCTGGAGAGAAACTGAAAGTGAGCTTACGAGAGTGAATCTATTGAAATCTACTCACCAGCTTCTTGAAGCGATGAGTTCCGATGCAGCGTCTCGATCTCCCGCATCTGCGGATACAGCAACATGGCGGAGGCGGCGCACAGTCCCTCCTCGGAGGCGCCCACCCATAAGGAGTCACCCACTGACTTCAAGGTCTCGTTCGCATTGTGGTACAAGCTCAAGGCGTCATCCACCAGGCCCGCCTGCAGCGACAGGTCTGCCAAGTTCTTCATCACACGGCCCACGCACCTCTTTCGATTGTTCCTTGACTCCATGTCCAGACCGACAAAGTCGCGCTTCTCGAAGGGGGCCAGCAACAGGCTTACCTTGTCCGCCTTCTCACGGGACCGCTCCAAGCGCCTCGATTCTAAGACCCAAAACAAAGCGCTGGCAAAGTCACCAATTCGGGACTCGAGATCCGCACAAGTATCCTGGTCACGGTAGAAGAATGCCTGCGATCTGAAGTTCGAGGGCGTGGTGAACTCATCCTGCAGGCGACGACCGCCTATTGGCGGCGCCTGACCCTCTCCAATGGTGTCCAGCGCGGTTCGTCGGGCCCAAAGAAAATGGCACGGGATTCGTACAGCGTTGAGCCGTAGCGCACCTTCAAGGATTCATGCTGGCGGCAGAGCTCGTTAAGCTCGGTCTGGTTGTCAAAGCGGCCAATGGTGATGAGTCCCAGCAGGCGACGATGCGTCTGAAAGTCACCCCAGTCGTTGTGCTCCACGGGATGGTCGTGGACGAAGCGTATCCAAATGGTACGCGGATTACCAGCGGAATCTGTGGAAGAATGGTAATATTAGAGAAGAATGTCAAGGAAATAAAGCGCTATCCAGCTCCTCCAGCTCACCATTAACCCGGATGTGGCTGACACGTCGCACTTTCTCGAACGCCCTCTGCAAGACACGGGCGCGTGACGGTCCCACGCCCCGGAGCAGCACCAGCAAGCAGCTGTGGTGCAGCGCACTCTGCTCGTAGTCTGGCCGGGACATCGCTGGCTCCACGCCACCACCACCGTGCGACAGCATCAGGCCAACGGCCGCACGCATCTACTCCGCACGGCTCCACCAAGTTCCAGTTGCAGTCCCAGTGCCAGTCCCAATCTGGATCCCGTTGGCACTTTTCTTGGCATCTGTCCAGTGGTCGACGAGTGCCTCAGAGGCTGGCCATATCACTGCCAATGTGGGATAGCTCTGGATTTCGCCTGTGGTTTCTGTTTCTGTGGAGGAACCTCGGCCTCCTCCCCCTTTTTTGTTCGACGATTCGAGCTGCTTTCACCTCGCTTTACTGCTGCTCTCACGGCACTTTCCTAGTGCTCGGACCACGCCCACATCAAGCCCGATGCCGGCCACACAGGGGATATGCGAAATCCCTTCGAATCGTTATATAAATAGCGATTAAAGCTTTGAAATTGCGAGTTTGCTTTTTGCGAAGAAATTGTCCAATCAGTTCGTGTCGACTAGTTGTTGTGAATGACAGTCGCTGTGAATGGCAGTCGCACAGATTGGCAAAGCGGCAGTCACACTGACCAATGAGCGCTTCAGTGTGGCCAGTTCCCCGGAAACAGCTGGTACACAGCTGTTGCAATAAACATGGTTAATAATATGGAATTTCGGGTTTTGGAGCTATTTAGCGGCATTGGTGGCATGCATTATGCCTTTAAGTGTGAGTAAGTGAATGATACAGCCTATAAACATAACATAACTCCAGCTAAACTGCGCAGATGCTCAGCTGGAGGGAGATATAGTGGCCGCCTTGGATGTAAACACTGTGGCCAATACGGTTTACGTGCATAATTATGGATCCAAACACGTGAAGACCAGGAATATCCAGAGCTTGAGTGCCAATGAGGTGGGGAAGTTCGATGCCAACATGCTACTGATGTCGCCTCCCTGCCAGCCCCACACCCGCCAAGGATTGCAGCGAGACACGGAGGACAAGCGATCCGACGCACTGACCCATCTCTGCGGGCTCATACCGGAATGCAGTGGTCTTCAGTACATTCTTATGGAGAACGTCAAGGGATTCGAGGGCTCTCAGGCTCGAAACCAGTTTATTTCAGCTCTGGAGCAAGCTGGATTCCATTGGCGGGAGTTCATACTGACGCCCACGCAGTTCAACGTTCCAAACACGCGGCATCGCTACTACTGCATTGCTCGTCGGAATCAGGACTTTTCCTTTCCTGGTGGCAAGATCTGGGAGCAGGTTCCCTTCGATATTATCCAAGACCAGCCACTTTCCCGAATATCGAGATTGTGGAGGAAAATGTTCCTCGCGAATTTCTAGTGCCTGATGACGTCCTGTCGAAAAGAGTCCTTGTTATGGACATAATCCACCCAGCACAGAGCAGATCCATGTGCTTCACCAAGGGCTACACGCACTACACGGAGGGCACAGGCTCGGCCTTTACGCCTCTCTCGGAGGAGGAGTCGCATCGGATATTCGAACTGGTCAAGGAGATCGATACGAGTAGCAGCCCGGAGTCTGTGAAGTCGGAGGAGGTACTGCAGCGACGGTTGGATCTGCTGCATCAATTAAAACTACGCTACTTTACGCCCCGCGAGGTGGCTCGTCTGATGAGTTTTCCCGAGGAGTTCGACTTCCCCGCCGAGACAACCAACCGACAGAAATACCGCTGCTGGGCAACAGCATAATGTAAGGTTGTGGAGAATTAATTAAAATATTGACCACCGTTTAAATATTCTATAAAATATTAACATTAAAAGATGGAACTGCACAATGCAATACAGAGTTACTAAAGACTCAACTGGTTGTTGGTTTTCAAGCAAATGTAAATCTATCAGAACTTCAAAGAATTAATAAATTAAGCTAAACCACATTTTAAATATTTATTTTTAATGTTTGCCACTTTTTAATTTCCACTCAACCGCTCATTAATAAAAAATACCAATCAGACTTGGTATTTCTTTCAATAGTGTATACCTTTTATCGAACTTCACATCTGGTCACTCTTTTTTGGATTAATCAACAGCAAAAATATTGAAAGAAGTTTAAAAACAATATAATTGCACTTCTCGCTTTAAAATCGTGCCAAAATGATTACCAAAAAGGTCACGGTCAAGGATTCACACATAGTGAAGATAGCCGTTGAGCGGGAGAACCATATAGCGCAGCTGATAAACTTGGATCAAAGGCATCCCCTGGCAAGTGAGTAAATAAAACAAATAACTACATTAAGATACGAATTCTAGGCAAGAAATCAGGTAATCCTCCCAAATAAGGTAAATAAAACGTGAGGAATAAAGAAGGATAATCCGATTTAGCTAGTTTTCGATCAGGGGAATCCTATATGCGGGACCAACGCCCTTTGTTATCGTGATGTCAGCGACGCCGCTCATTAAAATGCAGTGCGTTGCGGAGGACAGGAAGTCGATGTTTTATGACCAGTACTTATCTCCCCTCCCCTCCTGACAGGCAAAATCCAGGATATATGCAATGGCTGGGGCATCAGTGACCACCAGAACTACGCCCTACAGTTTGTGAGCCCAACAACCAGAAATATGTGACCGAAAAGAACGCAACGAGATAAAGAACGGCTCCGTACTGCAGCTGCAGTACTCGCCCTCCAAGACGGCCAGCGATGCCATGGAAGTCCTGCTGAATGGCAGTCCGCAGGAGAAGGCGCTGCGCCTTAAGGATCTCACCGCTTTGAGCACCGACCACACTTTCGCGCTGGAGTTTATCAAAGAGAAGGGCCTGGATACGCTGATTAAGATGATCGAGGATGTGAACCAGACCAACGAGGATATTCTCAAGTACAGCCTGGCCAGCTTTGTGGAGCTGATGGAGCACGGCACAGTGTCCTGGGAAGTGCCGGAGAACTCTTTTGTGCTCCGCAACATAGAAATTGTGCGGAACTTTCAGAAGTATCCGACAAACTGTGGAGAGAGTGCCCTGTCCAATCTGGAGAACATTGTCCAGTGCAGCAGTAAGCACGTTCTAGTGGCCGAGGACGTAAGCTGCAGGACATACTGCGCCTTCTGCAGGAAGTCAACTCGCCGGTGATGCGCCAGAATGCATTGCCCTGCTGAACGCACTCTTCATGAAGCTGACGAGGGCCGCCGAAGGACCATTGCCCACACCATCAGCGCCAAGCAGTTCCGCCTGGCACTCATTGGCAACGGTCTGGGCACCGAGATGACCCACCAGCTGTACGTTCTGCAGACACTGACCCTCGGGCTGCTGGAGAAGCGAATGCGCATGAAGATGAATCCCCAGGATCAAGATGCTCACGAGAAATCAAGGAGCTGCGACGCATTGCCTTTGACGATCACACCAACGCCCTAACCAGAGCGATGATCACATCGACGTGGTGGTGGTGGCTCCGGCGCCGGCAACGTCAACTTTTCGCAGTACTATAAAAAGCTTGGCTTTAAGTGCGACATAAATCCGGCTCAGGACTTCATTGAGACGCCGCCAGGTAAGAACTTGTAACCTAGTTTGGGTTCCTTATTGACACACCTTTTTCCAGGTGTCTTGGCTCTGGACTGCATGTTCTATTTCGCGCGAAACTACACCCAACAGTATGCGAAAATTGTGCGGGAGAACTCCTGCCGCGCCGATGAACACGAGTGTCCGTTTGGACGCACCTCTATTGAGCTGGTCAAGGTGCTGTGCGACATTTTGCGCATAGGCGAACCACCGGCCGAGCAATCCGGCGACTTTCAGCCCATGTTCTTCACTCATGACTCACCCTTCGAGGAATTCTTCTGCATCTGTGTCATCACCTTGAATCGCACATGGAAGGATATGCGTGCCACGGCTGAGGACTTTAGTACCACATTCAGCGTGGTACGGGAGCAGATTCAGCGCACGCTTAAAGGCAGACCCGAGAACCTCGAAGATTTCCGCAACAAAATAGCCCTGCTGACTTATCAGCAGATCACCACCTGCGCCAACAGGAGCGCACATCGAAGGAGGAATGTGATTCCACGGCCTCAGCGATTGTCAAATTGAAGGAGAAGATATCACCGCACATTCTGGAGCTGATTAAGCAGCAGAGACTCTCGTTTTTGGTTGAAGGTAGAACACCATTTTTATAGTTCTCCATGCCTCAGTTTTAACTTGTTAAATCTCAAAAATAGGCACACGTTTTGCAAAATACTCACGGGGAACCAGGACAAAGGACAAATTCTGGTATGCCCGACTCTCACCCAACCACAAGGTTATTCACTATGGGGATTGCGATGAGAAGACCATACCCACCTTGGAGGAACTGCCGAAGAAGCTGCCCATCAGTGAGATTAAACAGCTGCTGGAGGGCAAGGAGTGTCCGCACATGAAGGAGGCTCGCACACGCAAGTCAGCCGTTAATCTGGCCTTTTCCATAACATTCGAGAACATGGAGCACTCCACCTTGGACTTTGTGGCGCCGGACGAGAGTATTTTCAACTACTGGACAGATGGTATCAATGCCCTGCTGGGTCAGCCGATGGTCAGCAAGCAAAAGAACGAGGACTTTGACACACTGCTCTCGATGGAGATTAAGCTGCGTCTGCTGGACACGGAGGGGGTTGACATCAGCAAGGATCCGCCGCCCATACCCGAGGACCCAGAGAACTATGACTTCTGCTTCGAGGGCTGAAAAAGGTATCAGATTTTAGACTTCTCTCATTTAAACATATATTCACCCAAGATACATGCCAAAGTGTACCCACTATTCTCTCCGATCTGATCTTCTGCTAGTATTACTTGTGCAATTCCCCGAACACGACATGAGCCAACTTGAACATTTAGTGAACATTTACACACCATTACATATTATTATATTAGGTATTATATAATATAGAGATCATTAAATAACACATTTTATACATAACAATTTTGTACAAAAAAGACTAACAAGAGAAGCGTATTATTCTTATCCAAGGCTAGAGGTAAAAAGCGAAAGGATACGTTCTGGCGTTCTTATGATATAATGGAATCAAGCTCAAGGCTCCCCTCGTCCTTTGTGGTATCCTTCGATTGCAATTGTAGATGATAAAACACGTGCAGAAGTAAGCACTAAGCCTGGGGGCAGCCTACCCGATTGGGTCGTCGCCGGCTGCCACCTATCTTCATTATCCACGCACAGGCAGTTTGCGCCGTCGAGCGGGGGCTCGCTCCTAGATCCTTAATCAAATGTTATCCTCCAACAGCAGATCATTATCATCTCCTCTATCCGGCAGGCAGACAAAGAACTCTAGCAGATTCAGGATTGGGCCGCGCGAGAAGGGATTCTGGTAGCGACCGCGCTTATCCCGCAGATACGGATAGCGTTTGTAGTTGAACATCTCGTTCGTGGTAAGATTCATGCAAGCATGCAGGATCTGCAATAGAAATTGGAATATTAATCATGTATCCCTTTCATTTCCAACCCAGAACTCACCGAAGTACAGGTAAGTATCCAGCCGAGACCGCAGAAGACCACCGCCTCGATGAGGCCCAGCACGTAGAGCATCGTAAAGCCCTCGATCATCACACAGTAGCAGGCGAAGTAGATCGTAAAGGAGCAATTGACGGCTACCGAGAGACGAAAAGGAAGAACCACATGCGGTTCCGCAGGCCAACGCAGTTGTAGATGAAGGGACAGTGGTGGTCAAAGTAGGAGACACACCGGTTGCACACACGGCAATGCTTGGCCCTCAGCGGACGAAGGCACCGGCAGCTGTGGCACAGCCGGGTCAGCATCACATTCCGCTTTTCAGCTTGTCGAAATACGGGATCTGCTTGATGGCCCTGTAGTAGGCGTCCGAACTGAGGGGAATGTAGCCAGGATCCCTTCGATTGGCTATGGCCCAACTGATCCACATTACGGCGTTCCAGTAGATAAAGCAGTAGTGCGAGCGTCGCAGGATATTCCAGGTGATCGGTATCGCACGAATCATGTACATGGGATAACCCCATAGCAGCACCGAGAAGAGGAACAGGAACAGCGGCCCCTTCGAGTCGCCGGCTCCTCCAAAGAGCCACCCCCAGCTCTCAGAGACCGAGGGTATCCAGCGGGACTTCTTCTTCACCTCGCCGTACAGCAGTCGCACCACATCCTGATGCTGATGCGCCTGAGCCAACATGATCGGCGTCTTACCATTCTTGTCACGCGGCTCCAAATCCAGCTGGGATTTCTCGCACAGCAGGCGCACGCAGGTCATGTTCCCCGAGAGGCAGGCCAGATGCAACGGCGTGGATCCAAAGTTATCCGTCTTCTGTAGCTCCACGCCCGAGTACATAAGCAGACGCATCAGATCCGCGTGTCCCTTGTACGCCGCCCAATGGAGCGCCGTGTCGCCGTTGATATCCGTCAGGTTGTTTAGGGCTCCCATTCCCAGGAGATAGGCAGCCGTGGCTGTCCGTCCGTACATGCAGGCCAGGTGGAGTGGCGTTAATCCCTTGAAGTCCGCCGCGTTGACGGCCACGCCCGCCTGGAGGAGCACCTGCACGACGGAGGCGTGGCCCTTCCTGCAGGCCCAGTGAATGGGCCTCGGGCCTTGGGTTCCCAAACAGGGCAGATCAATGGGGGCCGTGCGCTCGATGAGGTACCTCATCAACTGGACGTTCCCGTTCAGGGCTATCCAGTGGGCAGGGGTGTAGCCATGCCGATCCCTCGCCGACAGGCACTCCATGCCAAACTTGTCCACCAGGTTCTCCACCTCGCTGACCTCGCCGTTTTTGATGATATCGAAGATGTCGTCCAGATTGACGGTTGTCGCCCCGTCTAGCCCCTCAAACAGAAGCACATTGTCGTGGTCCTCGTTGCCACCACCATGACCGCCACCTGGCCCACGTCCTGTCAGCGGCGGCGAGTGCGGCCGGTGATCCAAATGAATGTCGTCGTTGTGGGCATGGCCATCCTCCTCCGCTACGACCATGTTGCACGAGGAGGAGGCCGTCAGGGGCAGCGCCCACACGCTGCGCGCCGCCCCCGGACTCGGATGCACCTTGGAGGCCACGTTGTAGAACTCGAAGTCTACGCCAAGACGATCCGCCGTTCCACCGTTGCCGTGATGCAGGGGGTTTTCCAGTAAATGTGCAATCTTGTTGCCGTTTCCCGGAGCGCGACGAACGAAATTTTCAGCCCGTTTCGGTTAGTTTTATGAGGAGCACGCAAGGTAAACACGACTGCCCTCGATGGCGAGAAATTATGTCAGCACAGGGAGAAAATCAATAATGAGTCCGAATGGCAGGACTCGAATTGGGGCCATTTTCGAATTCGAGTTGGCGCCAAAGCGCCAACAGCTGACCGTTATATTCGGACCTTTCGGAATTGCAGAGTAACTTGGTCAATCTGTGAATCAATGTTAACTTACATTTTATAGACGTATAACATGTAAAATGTAACAGCTTCGAGACTCCGAAATCTGTTAATGAGAGCGGATATGTTATGAATTTCACGTTCTACATGAGAATTCGTAAAATGTAAAATTGTCATCCAGATGTATATGTTGTAAAATGTTAAATAACAGCTGCGGACTTCAGAGTGACCAAACAAAAACAATTAAAAACAAAAAAAAACCCTATTTGCAGCCCTCGATTAATTTTTTTTCGTAAAAAATGGGCGACAACGTGGTGACGGACTTAAAAAACTTGGATTTGAACAAGCAAAAGGCATGTTAAACTCTTTACCAACTTCTATCGCGTATATGAGAAGTGCTAGATACCCGAGTTATGTTTAAAATAGCGCTATATAGCGCCACAAAGTGTAGCAACTTGAGCCGAATTTGCCAAAGAGCGGTGCCGAAAATTCGGACGCAGCCAACACAACAACAATACCAGAAAGAACCACAAAGACAACAACAACAACACCGGTGCTACGCAACTTTGGTTGGTGTTCCAATTGTTAATAACTTTTGTTCAAATTAAATTGCAAAGCTCCCCGTACTGCTGGCACGTGTAATTGTTTTGTGTGTGTGTGTGTTTGCAATGAATCAGTGCCGGCTGCTGTGACGTCACTAACACTCATTTTTAAGATCGTTACAACTTGTAAATATAACTTCCAATTGCATCAGCTGAAAATTCCAAAGAAGCGGCGAGATAAAAAGAGATAGGCGGCCGAAAAACTCATTTTTCTGTGTCAACAATTGTTCAAACAGAACCAGTCGAGAGATAGCAAAAGAAGGCAGCAATTACTGCATACGTAGCATAGAAATCATTGCCTAAAACTAAAACTTATTGATTTTTCCTCACATTGATTTACAGGCGGCCAAAATGAAGAAGGAGAAAAAGGAGAAACCTGCCGGCGCTGGCGGTGGCGACACTCGCAAGGGTAAGTCTTCAAATCTCAATCCGTATCAGGAATATCCTCTAATTCCCAGTAATATTTCCGCAGAACTCAATCCCTGGCCCAAGTACATCGAGGAGCGTAATGTCTTCTGGGAGAAGTGCAAGGCGGAGTACGAGGCTGAACTAGCGGCCAAGACCGAGAGGCCATAAAGGTTACTCTGCCCGATGGCAAGCAGGTGGACGCCACCTCCTGGGAGACCACCCCCTATGAAGTAGCACGCGGCATCAGCCAGGGTCTGGCCGACAACACCGTCATCTCAAGGTGAATGGTGAGGTTTGGGATCTTGATCGTGTCCTCGAGGGCAACTGCACCCTCAGCTGCTCAAATTCGACGATCCAGAGGCGCAGGCCGTCTTCTGGCACAGCTCTGCGCATATTATGGGCGAGGCCATGGAGCGCATCTACGGCGGACACCTGTGCTACGGTCCGCCCATTGAAAGTGGCTTCTACTACGACATGCACTTGGATGGAGAGGGTGTAAGTAAAACAGAAACTTGAAATAGATTAGCACCTTAGCTAAGCTTATGTTGTCTTTCCATAGATCTCCACCAACGACTACGGCACCATGGAGGGTCTGGTCAAGCAAATTGTCAAGGAAAAGCAGAACTTTGAGCGACTGGAGATGAAGAAATCTGACTTGCTGGAGATGTTCAAGTACAATGAGTTCAAGGTACGCATTCTTAACGAGAAAGTCACCACGGATCGCACCACCGTCTACAAGTGCGGCTCTCTGATCGATCTCTGCCGCGGACCACATGTCCGTCACACCGGCAAGGTGAAGGCCCTGAAGATCACCAAAACTCCTCCACTTACTGGGAGGGCAAGGCCGACGCTGAGACTCTGCAGCGTGTTTACGGCATCTCGTTCCCCGATCCCAAGCAGCTCAAGGAGTGGGAGAAGCTGCAGGAGGAAGCTGCTAAGCGGGATCACCGTAAGATTGGCCGCGAGCAGGAGCTGTTCTTCTTCCACGAGCTGTCGCCAGGCTCGTGCTTCTTCCAGCCACGCGGAGCTCACATCTACAACACACTGATGAGCTTCATAAAGGCGGAGTACAGGAAGCGCGGCTTCCAGGAGGTCATTTCTCCAAATATTTACAATGCCAAGCTGTGGATGACCTCCGGTCACTGGCAGCACTATGCTGAGAACATGTTCTCCTTTGAGGCGGAGAAGGAGAAGTTCGCCCTGAAGCCTATGAACTGCCCTGGTCATTGCCTCATCTTCGATAACCGCAACCGTTCGTGGCGAGAGCTGCCGCTGCGCATGGCCGACTTTGGAGTGCTGCACCGCAACGAACTGTCTGGTGCCTTGACCGGATTGACGCGAGTGCGTCGCTTCCAGCAGGACGATGCGCACATCTTCTGTGCCCCGAGCAGATCAAGAGCGAGATGAAGGGCTGCCTGGAGTTCCTGAAGCATGTTTACACCATCTTCGGCTTCTCCTTCCAGCTGGTGCTGTCCACACGCCCGGAGAACTATCTGGGTGAGTTGGAGCAGTGGAACGATGCTGAGAAGGCGCTCGCCGAGTCGCTCAATGAGTTTGGCATGCCCTGGAAGGAGAACCCCGGCGATGGCGCCTTCTATGGACCCAAGATTGATATTACCATTATGGATGCTCTGAAGCGGGCCCATCAGTGCGCCACCATTCAACTGGATTTCCAGCTGCCCATTCGCTTAATCTCAGCTACATTGCCGACGATGGCGAGAAGAAGAAGCCGGTGATTATCCATCGTGCCATCCTCGGCTCCGTGGAGCGTATGATTGCCATCCTCACGGAGAACTATGCCGGCAAGTGGCCCTTCTGGCTGTCGCCACGTCAAGTAATGGTGGTGCCAGTGGGACCGGCCTATGATCAGTATGCGCAGACGGTGCGGATCAGCTCCACGATGCCGGCTTTATGAGCGAGGCGGATTGCGATGCTGGCGACACGATGAACAAGAAGATACGAAATGCTCAGTTGGCCCAGTTCAACTTTATCCTGGTGGTAGGCGACAAGGAGCGCTCCTCAAACACCGTCAATGTGCGCACGCGGGACAACAAGGTCCATGGCGAGGTGTCGGTGGCAGAACTGATTACCAACTGCAGAAGATTCGCGATGAGTTCATAACCAACGAGGACAGCTTCTAGGCAGACAACACAAACCCCCTCAATTTTGCACTATTTATCTAAACGTATACTTAATATTTGCATAGCAAAGCAAGTACGCATTTTTATGTTCTTTCTCTATGTATCTACGACGCTTATGAAACCGGAAATCACAAATAAAAACCAAATCCAAAACTGATTGATTCGTCATTCTATTGTATTTCGAATTGGATAAAGGTGAAGTTTGTCTTCTGGTGTTTTTATGAGGTCATTTCTGCATTGCTTTAACTTGAAAGTTGGTTTAAAATGAATCAGTTTATCTTTAATATAGTATGTGGTAATGATAATGAATGTCTAGCTCTGTTTCAAGCTTTCTCTCTATATGTTCCAATAAAAAGTGGAGCAATCGAACTCAAACAGTAGATAATAGTACACGTAAGCAACTTTTAAGTTTATCAAAAGTTTAAAAATTCCATTAGCTCAAGAAAAAAAGGTAGGTAAAAAGCACAACAAAAATAGTAATAGATATCTATTTTTCTGTATGTTATAAAATAATTAAGCGAAAAAGGATATGTCCTGCAGCTAAAGAATTATAAAAGCTTTGTCAAGAATCAATGTTAATCTCAGCAGCCTGTTTCTTATTGACAAGATCTGTAAGTGTTTTGTGGCATAAAATCAATGATTGATTTATACAATTCCTATCAGATTAATATGAATGTAATAAATGTGTAGTAATAATGTAATACAATGCCAAAATGCAGAAATGCAATTAGGTAAGTGACATGTAAGCTTCAGTCCACATCGAATCACAGCCTATCTAAGCCTATTACATTGTAATTGTTATATGGGGGTATCAATCGGTTTCGTCAGCAGTTTTGGACCCGTCATGCCGCGATTCAGTTCCCATTTTCAACGTGTGAACGGATTGTGATAAGATACGGTGCCCCCAAAAGCGTTGAACCCCTTTTTTGAGGGAGAGGTAAGCGTAAATGGGTTGAAAATGAGTCATGATTTGGGTTTTTTTTTTTTTCTTTTAATTTATTGCTAATATTGTGTATACTTTCATTTTCTTCATAATTTGATTTATTAAAAATTGCATCCATAGTTTGTATGTTTTTATTTCAATTATCAATTTTGTAAGCTTATGCTTTTCGCGTAAAAAATGCACAAAGTTCTCTCGCTAATCGAAGCAAAAATCGTTAATAATATTGTTAAGTGTTTTTTTATTCTGCTCGTGCTGCCTGCCTGCATGTCTGTCTGTCTGTTTTAGTTTTTTGTTTTCAGTTGTCATAAAAATACATATTATATATCTGTGTATATTTATTCATAAGATGCACGTGGCCAAGTCCTATGCCATCCAAAGTTCTTCCAGTTTTGCAGTCGCTTGCTGTGCTATAAAAACGAAATGTGGACGAAACAAAAGCCGCAAAACAGAACGGAGCACAGACGGGGTCTAAAATTGGAAACTACGTGTGCCCGGAGAACACAAAGGCTGGCTGCGTGGTACTACGGATGTTGTAGTTGGCTTGGGTTAATCATCATCATAGCAGCCGCTGCAGGAGATGCCGAATGTTGGAATGTCAGAGGATCCATAAGGATCCGTTCGGGCACCGCTTGGCCTGACATAAGTACTTGAAACTGCTGTTGGTTTTGGTTTTTTTTGGGTATCGGAAATGCACAACACTATATTCTTGCCTGGGGTTAAGCTAACTCGCAAATATTATACTCTGATCTTGATCCCTGATCTCGTGTCAATGAGTTAGCATATCGCCTACGCTCGGGATTAGCTCTCGCCTGCCATAGCCGGCTCAATTAACATGCTTAATTAGTTAGCCGATTTCGTTAATTGTTTGGGTTTTAGTCTATTTTTTTGCCTTTGCTATCATTTTTTACTTTATAAATTAACTTAAACGTAAAGTTGTGTATGTGTGTGTATATATATCGTAGATGTTGGGGGCGCGCTCGGGCTCGGAGTCCCGGAATCCAGCTGGTCCAGCGTCCAGCCACATACACCTACACCTGTGTGTACAGTATACACCACCCGTTGCCAGCGCGTGTGTGTGAAAATGCTGTGAAATGCTGGGCCTGCTGATCATCTTCTGCTTTTTCTCGAGGGGATTCAGGTTTGGATTGAATTGGGTTTGGGCTCGGGTTTGGATTAGGTCGGTTTAGCTAGTTCTAGCAGGCGCAGCCGCCCTCGGGATCCTTCGTCTCGTTGGGCGAATCCTTTAGCACAACCTCCTGCATGTCCTCGGAGGGCTTGTTCTCCGTGGAATCCATGCCGGGCAGTGCCGCCGCCACGCGCCTGAACAGCTGCTTTACATTGTAACCGGCCTTGGCGCTCGTCTCGATGAACATTACGTTCAACTCCTTCGCCTTCCGCTCACCCTCCTCGGTGGAGACCTGACGCTTGTCCGAGAGATCCGTCTTGTTGCCCACCAGCATGATGATGACGTCGCTGCCCCGCTCCGTGCGCACGTCATCGATCCACTTGGAGGTCTGGTGGAACGAGTTCGTGTTGGTGATGTCGTACACAACGACAGCGACCGTGGAGTCGCGTATGTAGGAGGGTATGAGCGAGCGGAAGCGCTCTTGGCCCGCCGTGTCCCACAGCTGCAGCCGCACCGTCCGGTCCTCCAGGTACATGGTCTTGGACAGGAAATCTATGCCGATCGTCGCCTGGTACGTGTTGTCGAAGCTGTCGTACATGAAGCGGGTAATCAGCGAGGTCTTGCCCACGCTCTGTTCGCCCAGGAACACCAGCTTGAACTTCCTCAGCGGATTCCCAAAGTCGCCGGATGACATCTTATCTTGGTACGTGTCTACTTTTTCTTAATTACGGGTTTGCTGACCTCTCTTCTCGCTCCGCTCACCGCGTTCCGCTCTCCTCGGTTGCGCACTCTCCGCTCTCCACCTCTCCTCTCTGTTGATACTGGGGCTGGGCCGTCTTTTGGGATCCGGGTAATCCTGGCTCCGGGCTGTTGTGTGGTTCCACGACGCGGACTCTGTGCTACGACAAACTCACGGTATTAATTCCGGTTAGCGGCGGCCCGATTTGCGGTTCAAATCGGTCGAAAATTGTTAAATTCGTCGTGGAAAAACTAAGCGCTTCTTCTTTCGTGAGTCAGTTTTTTGTTTTAATGAGACCAGACTGTGGGATAGTAAAAAACCTAAATAAAATGCCAAAAAAATACTTATGGCGTTAAGAGATTAAGATTAAGAGCGGGTTGCGAAAAAGAATTAAAATAGTAATAAAGAATTGCTGGGAAGCGCCAGCGCTATAATTCTTGCCGCTGCGAAACAGTTTTACCCTCTTCATACCTTTACTTTATTGTATTATTATGTACTTCACTATTTAAAAACAATCATTAAAATCATATTTTAAATTTAATACTGTAAAATACCAGACAGTGAATACTGAGAGTCACGAGAATTAGAAAGGAAAGCAGTGATTTTTGAATTATATTTAGATTTATTTTTATGTACTTATTTCTTTTAATTTATAAATTAATCCAATATTTTAAAAAATATTTATATTTAACACAGAATAAACCACAAGAGAAATACCAGAATCAATGATTACTAGTTCTTTAAACAGTTATTTTCAAACATCAATATTCGATTTTACCAATTCAAAAAGCTCTCAGAGGTAAATTGTCGCTAACTTGAGATATTAACGTATTATTTGCACAGTCTATCTGGCCACAAGTGCTCCCAATCCCACACAGTCCGAGGTATGAATATTCTGTAAGGCGTCACCGCTGAGACTTCGTTTAATCTTAAATTATATTAAGCTGTTATCTGAAAAACACGGGCCTTAATTGAAACCCCTTATCTGCACCTCCGCTCCGGCGCTGGCGAATTTCAGTATCGCGAATTAATTTAAACGGCGCCCGATAAAGGCCGATGTAAACAGTTCTCCGAAAACTATGATTGCGAACGGACAGTCAACAAAGTCGCGCCCTCGGCCGCTGGCCAGTGTCCTTCTCCTGGTCTTGGGTCTGTGTCAGGTGTCCGGAGTAGCCGTCGCCCAGCCAGAGGGTCGAGTGGTGGGCGGCTCGGCAGCGGCGGCCAACAGTGCTCCCTATGCGGTGTCTATGCAGTACAGCGGCACCCACTACTGTGCCGCCAGCATCCTGAATGCCAACTGGCTGGTCACGGCTGCCCATTGCCTGGCCAATAGTGCTCAGGTCCTGGGAAGCACCCTGGTGGCAGGCAGTATCGCCGTGGCGGGAACAGCCAGCACAACGCAGAAGCGGAGCATCACTTACTTTGTGGTCAACGATCTGTACACGGGCGGAACCGTGCCCTACGACATCGGTCTGATCTACACGCCCACCGCCTTCACGTGGTCCGCTGCAGTGGCTCCTGTGACGCTTCCCTCCTCGGGAGTGGTTCCAACTGGCACCGCCAACCTCTATGGATGGGGTAGCACCAGCACCACCAACTCTGCCACCTATCCCACAACGCTACAGGTGGCCACCAATGTGCCCATCATTAGTCTTACCTCCTGCGAGGAAGCCCTGGGCACCAAGGGCAGCGATGTCCACTCGACCAATCTGTGCACGGGTCCCCTCACTGGTGGCGTCAGCATTTGCACTTCGGACTCGGGAGGTCCTTTGGTCCAAGGAAATGTCCTCATCGGCATCGTGTCCTGGGGAAAGTTACCCTGTGGTCAGGCCAACTCGCCGTCAGTCTATGTGCAGGTGTCCTCGTTTATTTCCTGGATATCCGCAAACCAAGTGGCGCCGTAGCTTCCTTCCTGATTTTAACACTTTTAATTCAATAAAGTAAGACGATTTTGTAGACTAGCTCAAGAGGCAATGGTTTATAAATGAGATCTTCTTAGGCATTGCAATTACTTTTTGTTGATAGTAATATTTATCTTATCACAGAGAGTGGAAATAGTGATACACATATGACATCCATGTCTAAAGGTTGTCTATTTAGGGTTGACTGGGAATTCACCAGAGGTTGTCATAAGGGCAAAATATGAATAGTTTTAAATTGATATGTTTGATATGTTTCATCAAACAGTTTAATCTACTGACATAAAAAATACATTATGAAAGTTATTCCTTACATTTTTAATGTTGGTTTTTTATTTCTTGGAGTCCCGCGTTTTGCAGATAAATTCAAATTATAACGACCAAGTCAAGACAGAAACTTAAATTCAGTATTTTTACAAGAAGCTTTTCTGCAAATATGCGGCCACATTGTTGCCCGCTAATTAAAAATTTAAATTTAAGTTAATTTATCATTATTCAGAAAATATTGTAAGTTTTAAAAACAATAATGGTTAAAGGAAAAATAATAATACAAGTACATACAAAATACAACGAGGTATTACCAGGCGTAATTAAGCTCCTTCTTTAATTTATGCATTTATTTTCCTAGTTTTTGTCTTTTATTTTATAGACAAATTCTATTTTTATGAAATATTCTCACGTGCTATTAAAAACTCGAGATATTATAGCACTCAGGTCCAGCTTTGTTGACATAGTCACCCCTCGAGAATAATGTATATACAAATAAAAAATAGTCCCTAGTCTATCGCGGTCTAATCTAATAATTCTATTAGGTGCCTATCTCTGTAAAACAATGATTTTAATTGGAAACCCTTATCTGCCCCTTTCGGCTGCTTGTTAAAAGTAGTATCGCGTTTTAATTTAAATAGCCGTCGATAAAGCCAAATGTAAACAGTTCTCCGAAAACTACGATTGCAAACGGACGTCAAAAAATGTGGCACCATCGCACCATGGCTGGTCTTCTCCTCCTGCTGACCGTTGTTGGACTGTGCCACGCGTCGGAATTGGAGCACGAGGGTCGCGTGGTGGGTGGAGTGGCGGCGGCAGCGAACAGTGCTCCCTACATAGTGTCCCTGCAGTATGGCGGCACCCATTATTGCGCTGCCAGCATCCTGAATGCCAACTGGCTGGTCACGGCCGCTCATTGTCTGGCCAACAGGAACCAAGTGCTGGGAAGTACCCTGGTGGCGGGCAGTATCGCCGTGGCGGGAACAGCAAGCACCACCCAAAAACGGAGCATCACTCACTACGTGGTCAACGATCTGTACACAGGCGGAACCGTGCCCTACGACATTGGATTGATCTATACCCCAACCGCCTTCACATGGACCGCTGCAGTGGCTCCGGTGAAGTTGCCATCGGCAGGGCCAAGCCAACTGGCAAGGCCACGCTCTACGGCTGGGGTAGCACCAGTAAAACCAACAGCCCCTCGTATCCCAAGACTCTGATGGTGGCCAAGGATATACCCATAATAAGTCTCACCTCCTGTGCGGCGGCTCTGGGTAGCAAGGGTGTAGATGTCCACTCCACAAATCTGTGCACGGGTCCCCTTACCGGTGGTACCAGCTTCTGCACCTCGGACTCGGGAGGTCCTCTGGTCCAAGGCAATGTCCTTATCGGTATCGTGTCCTGGGGCAAGCTTCCTTGCGGTCAGCCCAATTCTCCATCCGTTTACGTGGAGGTTTCTGCGTTTAATTCATGGATTGCCGCCAACCAAAAGATTTAAATTTTGAAGTTAACCATTTTTGGGAAATAAAATTGAAAAGAAAGCAAGTAAATCTTTGGTAAATATTTTAACTATACATATATAGTTTGTTATCCTGAAGTGGAAGAGCACAAGCGGTGAACCTTATATCCTATAGTTTATAAAATCTAAACTTACAGGCCGTTGCGGATGACTTTCTGCCTTATGAGTAAGGATAGTTTTGAGCTTTATGTTCACTAAATATCTGATTAAAAATAGAAATAGATTGATAATAAAATAAAAGACTAGATTAACTTTCCATTTCCTTATACCACAATCATTCGTTGATTTCTTCCCAGGTAAACTCAGCACTTGAGATGACTCTTGCTTTTAGCTTTGGTTTGTTTTAGGTTTTGCTTTCAACACGTCCCGGCCACTCCTCCATTTATCAATTAAACCGATCTGTGGCTGGTCTCGTTGGGAAGCTAATTGGTCAGCAAGTTGCTGGACACGATCACAATCAGTTTATTGACACGACCAGAAAACATAATTGAATGAACATATCAATTTCGCATTACAATCACACCAGAAAAGCTTATTAAGTGCCTCGAAATCATCGCAGAGGACGGCGGGCCAAGAACGTTGGCCAGAACACGCCCGCAGCTAATCAGCCTCTAATGGCGATAAATATTTCATTCTATATTATTTTGTTTTTTATTCGTCCAGTGAGACACGCCTCCTCCCAGCTCGGCCAGGAGTCAAGACAAAGCGACGACTCAACGGGAAGGAACAGGCCCCAGAACAACAGGCCTCCTCCGAAGATGGGACGGAATCGCCATCGAACGGACAGAATCTGCAACGCGATCGATGAAGACAAGGCTGATAAAGGCAGTGAAATGCAGTGACTAGAGATGGGTCAGTGAGGCACTTCTCTCACTCTTAAATAATAAATGTTTTTATGAGTAATTTTTGTAAGAAAAGAAACAGTTTTTCAATCATTAAATACTTAAAAATTAAAAGTTAACTTTAGCCTCTGTGAGTTATCTCTCACGATCGCATCTCTGATCAGAACCAAAGATGAAACGGCGGCCAAAGTCAAGGCAAGGCCAGATCTCTTGGCTTCCCTCGCAATCGTTGTGTTATGAATCGAACAGATTTATGCAACCTGGCGAACAACATGGGCGGGTGCTCCTCCATCTCCACCAAAGGCCCAGCTTCTTCCTCCCTTCTTGCTCCACAAGAGAAGGTATGGAAGAGGAGGATGCGACCGCGACATTTGGCTGCGCCATTATGAGTAATGGAGTAATGCCTGGAATTGTTTACTTGGGGGCTTTATTGGCATCTGCATTTGGCATCGGAATGAATATCTGAGCTTTATGTGCTTATTCCTTTTATGTACCTACACTTGAGTAGTTTATTACATTTTTTCCGAACTATGCTTTGCGTTTGGCAAACTGGAAAGGATATCATAATTGGCCAGAAGATGAACAGAATATTTAAATGAGTTGAAAGGGGAAAATGGAAATGAGTTATGGGTGTGGGATTAATTTTTTTTAAATATATGAGTGACATATTCTAACAAATGATACTGTTCTTAAAAAAATAATATTAAAAGATCATTTAATTATCATTTTATATGGAATCCTTATAGATGTATACAATCTTTATACTCTCTCTCTTAATGACTAAATAACTTTCTTATACCAGCTAACATCACATAACCCTTATCCTTTAAATCATTCCCTGAAACTTACACAATCTTCTGAACAAATCTTAAGCGAAATCTAATTTTTAATTGGCCAACAAACAGCGTACAAGCGACAATTCATGCTTATCAGCGGTGTAACCAGTAATTAATCTACCATTGGCTGAGAAAGAGTTTCTCTCTTAGCTGATGCTTCTCCCTTAAGAGAAGCGAACCTCTTCAGCCAGAATCTTTCGAGAGCTCAAACATAATTTCACTCACTTAAAGAAAAAGAGTATGACTGTCATTTTTACTACTTTAAAATTGCAACAATTATTGTTCGAAAACCTGCTAAGCTCATTTGGAAATTAATCTCGCTTCGTCTATGAGAACTTAATATTTTCAACTGTAAGAAAAAAATACCATACAATATGTTATTGAATAATAAATATTCCAAATATTATCTTTATTTAATAAATTTCCTATGTTCTAGAACTTTTCTTCCCAAATATATTAGTATATTTTTCTCTTGGTGTATGCAGACAACTTTCTTTCGACGGCTTTTCTTAAAAGCAACTCGAACTTGTTGTTGAGCCTCAGTTCGGAATCAGCACGCGACGCGCTCAGAACGAGAAACGGAGAAAAGTGTAGCGACTTGAATAAAAGCATACAAAATATATAAAAAAAAGGCTCTTCTTCGAAGACTATGCTGTGGTTAAGGATGATCGAACCCTCGAGTGGCGGTGAAGTGCAAGCATAAATAAACGAGAAAGAATAATAGTAATATTTTTGTTATGGTGTCCCTCAATTGAGAACTCAAGGGAACAAAGTGGATATAAGAAAAAATACCCACAGGTAAGCATCAGACTATGGAGTGCCTTAAGGAAATCAATTTATGAAAGGAATATTTAGCTCTAAATTGTACTATATATTAGACCTATGTTCTCATGAACTTATTCATTATTATTATTATCTAAAAGATTCCTATTTCTCAGCCTAGTCTACAGCTATGTGAAAATCTTTAGGAATGCCAATGTTGTCTCGGTTCTTGCGGTTCTTTTGCACCTACATACATAGGCCTTCCCCTCTGTCTTTTTTTTTATCCACACTTTGGGCATGCTAAAATTTAATAAGTGTTTTCCTCAAACCGTTTTTCCTGTCGCCTCTTTTTCACGCTTTTTTTTGTTCTTGTAGCTGTAGCTGTTCTTGTTGTTCAATTCTTTGATGCATTGCCAAAGCGGAGGGACGGAAAGGGGTGTAAAATATGCAGTTGGCAAAGTCAACTTCTCCAACTTGGCAAATTCTTGCGGCACATTTCATTCATCTCTTTCGCTCTACCCAAAGCCAAAAGCCTTTTCGTTTTTTTTTTGTTTTTGTTCTTCCCAACGTGTCGTGTCGTGTTAACGGTATTGTTTACATTAGTAATAGAACCCACCGAGTTGGTGGCCAGATAAATAAGTAATAGAAATACAGGCGCAGCCGAAAGTCCATGCTTGAGTGCACTCGTTCTTGCGCCAAAAGATAAAGAGAAGGAGACGGAAATCAAAGGCAAACAAAAGACTCAGGCAACGAACTTGCCGGAGGTTGCCTCCTTTAAGTGTGTGTGAGTGTGTTAATCTCGAGTGTAATGACTGCGGCAAAAAGAATATCAACAATTTAATTCAATTCTTGGAAGATACTTATAATTAGAGCAGTGTTTTATATATATCATAAATACTTGGATTAGAGGGTATCATAGTTACTCTAGTGTATTAAATATTTTGATTGCCAAAAGCATTACTTGCATTCATTTTAATACTTTTCAATCAGAGTTAAGAAAACTTATTATCTTGGTAGTAATTGGGACCATATATTTAACCAATATTGTTAAGAATACAAAAATGATTCTTTAATATTCTTAACCAGACATTAATTGACTTTTTAGATTTCCTTTGCTTTGAAAGATATTTTAATTTTAGTCGGAGCCTGAAACGCAGTGAAGGAGTCATTTCCGACCCTTTAAATCATATATATTCTTATTAACATTAACAGCCGAATCGATCTAGCATTGTCTGGTCGAAATCTATTTTCTTCAAAATTTTCGAATCTTTTTAAAATCTCAAAAATTCGATTAAAATAGGATTTATTTAAATATTAAGTTGAGTATGCAGTTTTGTTAACCTGATCAAAATAGCAAAGAACAGCTTTCCGTATTAAAATTAATGCATTTTTGGCTTAGTTATAAACACGTTCTTGATCAAATTCAAATGGTTTTCAAATTTCTGTTTCCCAAAATTAGTTTTCATCCTTTTTTAGTTTTTGGTTGCTGCATATAACTATATAATATTTCTTATATTCGAAATATAAGTATATAAAATATTATAATATATATTTGTATAAATATATATATTTATTTGAAAAGTTTAATTAGTTTTTTAATATCTTATTCTCATTTCCAAATCATTATTTTCTACCTAATTTTTCCCTTGTCAAACCACAAATAAATTCCCAACTGTACAATGCTAGTCAAATGATTTAAATTCTCGGCGAAATTCTCTATGCAAATTAAATAATGCTTACCAACTTGCGCAGACCAATTAAATCCATCGTCGTCGACAGAAGTAAAGGAAAGAAGCTGCCGCACAAAATTGCTTATTTATTAGTCGAAAAAGAGAGGAAAACCTCTGGAAACGGCATGCTAATGATGTAAACTAACCATTTAACTGTTAAAAGGCCAGCAGCAGCCGCAGAAAACCGAGAGAAAAAGTCTCATCAGTGGGATGGGGCAATGGGGGAAGGTGAGAGGACCCGGGGAAGATGAGCTCCAAGACGAAGACGACAAAACTAAGGTGACTTCCAAAGACTAATCAAAGCCGTTACAATGGTCACAACGGCCGCAAAAAACGCACTCTTGGCTCTTGGCTTGGTGATAGAGACAGGGAGAGCAGAAGAGAAAGAGATCGACAGTTTCAAAGGGAGAGAATCTAGGTTGCAGTGTCTTCAAATACACTCAAGGAAAATATTAATAGAAAGCCTTAGAGGAATTATATTTAAAGTCAGTGAAAAAATAAATTATTAATTATATTAAGAATATATATATTATAAAATTTTATGTATGCATTTCCTAATATTAAAGACTTGAAAGCTACATAACTTATATATTTTAATACCATGATCTTTTCACAAAGATTCTTGAAGCTTTTGTGTAATAGTTTTCATTCCAATATGTGTATACTTTTCATTATTAAAATACCAATTTTTATTTTCTGTGTAAAAATGTTCACAGTAATCTTTGCTGCTGCTGCGTCACATGTTGTTGTTATTTTTTTGTTCAAGAAATTACCGTTCCGTGTTGACAAAACGCAAGAAGAAACAGGGGAACTGACTTAAGGTTCAGCTTGGGGAACTTGAATCTTTGGAG